GGTAACGATCGGGAATGGTTTTCGCATTCAGTCGCCGATAGTCACCAGTTGGACGCCAATCGTTGCTGTCCTTTATGGGGACCATGTGCAACGGAGATGCATATGGGCTATTTGACGGTCTATCATGTCATCGAACTCGTTTTTCGCCAACCTTAGCTTTTCGGGGGCTATTCGTCGTGCATTAGAGAATACAGGTGGTCCTGTAGTCATGATGTAATGTGTAACTTTGCCGGTTACACACGGTAGTTTCGGTTTGCTGTATCCCAGTATACTTGTCGAGTAGCGGTTGATAAAGTGGATATTTCGTGCCTTAAGGTAACCCTTGGGTCAACTCTTAACCAACCAACCTATGCTGTTACAGATCTATCGTATGCTTAACTGTGACCGGGGATAATCTGCAACCAGAAAAAGAAGTTACGCAAACGGATAATTTAGTGTTTCCGTCTACTAGCCTGAGTTCGCGCGTATCGACGATTAGATTATGGTGTTGTAGAAGGTCCATACCAATGATTGGCATAGAAACATCTACAACAACGAAGAACCAGTGAATGGGTTTGCGTAAACCCACGTTAACTTAAACCTACCTTTTGCCATACGTAGCGATAGGTTTTCCGTTTGCCGCCTGTACGTTTAAAGACGATTCGTGAAGCCGGTCGTTAGGATTCGCTGGGAGAACGCTAACTTCTGCGCCAGTGTCGACGAGGTAGCGAACTCTCGTTGTCACATCTGTGACGTACAACAGACGGCTATGTTCGCCGGCTACGGTTGCGATTAACGCGTGCCGGCTTGGAATTTTCCCGAGTTGTTTTTCGAGTCAGTCGGTTTTGAGTTGGGAAAATCGCAGGGTTTTCGGCAATTTCTGGGAAACTTTCCATACTGGTTATGATACCAGCACCAGTTGGGATTATCCATCTCTCGTGGTCTAGAGACAGATCGCTTACGCGAAGTGCTTCTACGTGTGGTGTGTGAACGATTACGGTCGTTACGAAGATTAAGATAACGCGTGAGTGTATGACGTAACTCGGTTGTGTCATTCTGAGTCGTTTGAGGCCTTTCTTTGACTGAAAAAACCTCGGTAGTAGAAGGTTTCGTAATTTCTAAGATACGATCGGCAGATGCAGCCAGGTCATCCAAAACGTTGTTCTGAAACGAGACCAGAACCACTTGCACCTGTTGGGGAAGTTTGGACAAGAAAAGGTGTTTGAATAGACCTTCGTCGAAAGTTCTTAGGCCTATTACTTCCCTCATCCTTTGCAACGTGTCCGTCGCAGAACCGTGTTGCAGGTCTATGTTATTAAAGAATTGATCTAACCTTTATCGACCGGTTAGGTCTCCTCGTTTAAGAATCGAACGTTTTAAGGTTTCGTAAGGTTCAGAAACATCACTAGTAAACATACTAGGTGTTACGTACCTGTTGAATTCGCGCGGTAGTGCCTTGACTACTGTGAGAAATTGCTCATGTGCGTCGTTCACGCCATGCTCGTGGAAGTCGGCTCCTGCGTAGTAGAACCAGGCTTCGATATTGTCGGGCCAGAAGGGCATGAGCTGGAACGAGGGTGGGGACATGTTCTTAATCTTAAATACTTTAGGAGTCTGTTCGGTCATAGGAGAATATTAAGTACGAGAATATGAGGGAAAAATAAATATATCCTGGGACACGGGGGATAAATATCAGGTCCAGATCATGCGATACATGCCTAGTAGACAACCTGAATGGTGTAATTCGGAAACCAGACAGCGGACTCCTTGTATCAGTCTTATTCCTAGACTTTAAGAAAGCCTCTGATAAGGTCTCACACAAAAGGCTACTCGTCAAACTAAAGTCCTTCGGAATACACAACCCACTGCACTCATGGTTTGCTTCGTTCTTAACAGAACGTAAACAGATGGTAAAGTACAATGACTGTCTCTCGTCCCCGAGACCAATCACCAGTGGAGTCATCCAGGGAAGCGTATTAGGTTCACTTTTGTTTCTTATGTATATAAACGATATATGTAACACCATAGAATTTGGGAAACCATACTTATATGCCGATGATCTTAAAATAGTATGCAGCTATAAGCCTCAGACACTAAGTGAAAGTGTATACCAGATCCAGAAGAACCTCAATAACTTAACTATATGGAGTGAAAAATGGCAATTACCATTTAACCTCAACAAGTGCGGGATCGTGCAATTTGGAAAGCATCCCTATAAACCGCGACTTCACTTAAATGAATGTAGAGTCCAAACAATCGAATCAGTACATGATTTAGGGATTAATTACACGGGAAGCCTGAACTTTGAAGAACATGCCTCCTCTATTATTTCTAAATCTAGACGGCTAATTGGTTTTATAATGAAAACATTTTTCACAACAGAGGGTAAACGTACTCTCTACAAAATATGTGTACAACCCTCCCTTGAATACTGCTCTTTTGTCTTCTCTAATATTAATATCACAGACAAGATAAGAGAAGATGTTCAAAGACGTTTCATACGTCAACTACTAGGATGTAACTCGAATCTCGATTACACAGATAGATGTAAGCATCTATCTTTAGAACCTTTATGGCACCGTAGGCTAAAGAACAATTTAATATTTATCTACAAAGCGATATATGGGCTCTCCTTTCTTACGTCCTGCCCGACTATCACCCACGACCCAGCCTATAGACTTAGAAACAACGCATATTCACTACTTACCGTAAAACACCAAAAACAAATGCGTTGTAAGTTTTTTATAGTACGGTATAGTTTATTTTGGAACAGTCTGCCAATGCCTATCCGTAACTGTGATACGTTTACCAGATTCAAAAAGCTAATAACCTTATTTCTAGACTCCAAAGAACTTCAACATTTCCTTGAACTCTCGCCCACCAATGAGGCATTTTATTACGGACCGCCTAGTATCTAGAAAGAACAAGATTATAACAAGTTCGACTGTAACTAATATGAATATAACCAAATCACAGAATATATGGCTTATCCTTTCCTATTATTCATTGTTTATTAATCATGGTCTTATGCTCCTAACCCTAGCTTTCAGTTCCCAAATCTCTACAGGTTAAATGTACATTATTCTTCCTAAAAGTCATTCCTTTTTTTCTACTGCAAGTAGACAGATAGCTCAATCTTATGGATGCTGATCTACTAAGGCCGATCATACAAAGCTCAAAATTTGGCCACAAAGTCTTATGAGTTTCTCAATGTTTTATTTGTCTTACCCTGAAATTTTTTTTCTCTACCCACCGAGAGAAATCAAAAGACATAATCGACGAGATCGGAAGAGTATATTTGGCAATAACAAATATCTCGGAATTCTCTTATCTAATCTGGCTAGCGATTGCGGTAGATGTTGACTACAGCGTTAGCACACGTGATCTGGTGCGGATGCATGACCAAGCGCCTTCAGCTAGATGAGTCCACTATAACATATGGTCAGCACCCAATGTCGGAAACTTACAGAGCCATTTATTTTGGGGATTCATTTACCGTTACAATATGGTCAGCTTATTGACTACTGCCTCCCACGTTCACAGTCACTTTCTGGCTTTATTGTGTACAAATGATATTTCCTACTTTATGGTGCCTTGCGGTCCGTTTGTTTGATATATAAACCCTGTATGTTTGAAATAAACGATTCGACTCGATTCGCATAGTGGAAACTGGTATTAGTGTTCTGGACTCAAGTGGACGGACTGGGCGGACATTGGACCAATAAGAACACTAAGCTGCTCATACCGGTCGAACATCATTGGTTTGGCACGGTGCTAAGATTGCATAAGTCGTATTTTGATTGGTGGATAAATCACGTGATAAAAAGCCAGACATATAGTCATGACAAAACTCTTTCTGAAGTCATGTGTTCGCTGTTTCACAGGTTATCGGTTTCTACAAATGTCATTATAATCTGCTTGACTATTCTTTCCAATATTTTAACCACAACACTGATGAGGTTGGCAGGTCTTTAGTTCGATGGAAGTTGTCTTGGTGCTGTTTTATGTATGGGTGTGATGGTTGCATCCTTTCAGTCTTGACTTTGTATTTGGGTCTGGTTCATTGTCTAGAAGAGGTTTCTGAGTGAAAACTGCCCCAAACTAGTAAGCCATATCCTCTGATCTATCATTTCAGATCCACTCTCTTCTTTAATTAGGTTGGGAATCAAATGCTGCATCCTTGTTCAGGAATTTATGTACGAGAATGATCTTTTAGGCTGCTTGAGTGCAGATCGTGTCAACTGCATTTCAAATTTTCTCTGAGCTTCACGAATTTTTGTTATACACTTGTTTCTCATGGATCTGTAGCGTTCCATCGTATCTTCTGTGCCAGGGTGGATGACAACATCCCAACATTTCTTCTTTTGTCTTAGTAAACGTCGAATATCCCGGCCTATCCAGGGATGGCCGTGCTTCTTCTTCTTTGGAACTGTTCAGGTTATGCATGGTTGAGTTACCCGGTTGTATAACTACCTGAAATGAGTCCATGCCTCTTGTACTGATACCCTTTAGTGAATTTCCCAGTTTTCAGCAGATGCTATGAAGTTTGTGGCCTCCATGCCTGCCCTCCATATGTTAGAACGGGCCGGCGTAACTGATTGACAGGCAGTGTCAGCGACGAACCTGAATAAGATGACTGCATGATCGCATCTCTCCAGAGGTGGGAGGAGAGTCATTTGGCCGACATCGTCACCGTGTGTGAAGACTAAATACAAGAGAGACGAGGAGCTTCGTAAGTCATATCTGGTGGGACCTCTAATATGTTGTAATAAAGCTAATCCAATTGAGGTTTCTAACAGTTTGCAACCGAATGACCTTATCGATGACCCTACTTCTAAGTTAACCTAGTTTACATACGGTGCATTAAAGTTACCTACTTTAAGGCTTTTACCCCTATCACACCAGAACTTAAGTTTGCTTAGGAGGAAGTCATCTAATACACATTCTGGAGTGTGATATACCACAACTAATTCAGTATATTGTTGTCTACATTTAAACTTGAAACGCACCAGTTCACATGTCCCTGAATCACGTGCCACTGTCTCAACTACGTTCCAATGATTTTTTTACCTTTAAATCCCTGAAGGAAAATAACACGGAGCATGCTTTAGCATTACTATCACGCTATCCCACAGCCGCAAAACAGACAAATAGTTCATTAATTTTCTCAATCAAAGTATGAGGGCTTGAAGTTTGAAGTATGATAGGCGCACTTAGTAAAGCGTGCGTTTCATCATGTCGTGATGTGTTAGTCAAGGGTTAAACCCAATGTATATTATGATCTTATGAGGGTAAATGTAGTGGTTTTTTCTGCCAAAATAATACATAGTCTGAAAGTTAGCGTTTTTAACCCTAATTGTATTATAGTCATGATGGTGCACATTACCTAAGCAACAATAGGGAAGTGACATTCACTACAGATCCTCATTGTGGATTTTAAGCTGAAATCGACGAAAGTGTCACTTGTTTTGTTTGACGTTGGTAAATAGTTAGGCTCATTATAACTTTTTTTGATACTTCTAAGCTGCCAGCTTTGTTTTTTGGATATTTTGAGATTTTGGTAAATATCCTTCATATATGTGAATTTTGAGTATTTTCAGCAAGCTTTTCCAAAAATTTATCAAAACGTTTTCTGGGATGTATGTTTTATTCACGCTGTACGGTGGGAAGCCGCTAACGTCTTGAAATCCGTGTACGTATTTTCTATGTTTGTTGACTTTATCAACCATCCCTAACTGCTCTCCACTTTTTCATCTTATTTTCAGATTTGACAATACTGTATGTTGTTATGTCAACCAATCAACTTTCAATTTGTTGAAAAACGTGCTGAAAAATCTTATAAATCAAACCGATATCAGTCATAAAATACAAGCAGACCATACTTTATGCCTGTCAAATACTGAAGTCTTCTGTTCTTTCTCAAAGTCATATGGTTAATCACTCTAACAGTCATTTCAATATGTTAACGAGCACTTTAAGCTGCGCAAAAGCTCACTGTTTAATATTAGTATTATTTCTCCTGACTTGTTTTAAACATCTATTCGAATCCAGTCTATTTCTAGTGTAGTTGTCCAATGACGTTTGTAATTTCATTGAGGCAAATGATTTATCAATTTTAACAGTTGGTCATCAGTTAATTCTAAATTAGTCACGGCCTAATTTTTTCTGCAATAAATTCTGAATGTTTACTCTGATTGTATTATTTTATTTATATTTACTTGAAGGTATACCATATGGTGTTCAGTCACGATTTCTACCTCTTATATTTCGCAATAAAGGTCTTTCACTTACTTCATTAGGTCTACATAAACTTCTTCATGTACCTTGGCTACTTAAAAGCTTTTATGCTCCGGTAATTGACAGACATGTGAACAAAAGAGTGTGGTTATTTATCACTTTCAGTGGTTTGTTTTTTTGTACAGTCTTATTATTACACGAATGTGAACAGTTGGTCAGTGGAAACAATTATTTCATGTTCACTATTTCTTCTTGTCTTTTTATGTATAATTTTTGGGCAGCTTCACAAGACATTACTGTTGATTCACTGACCTTGTCCACCTTAACATCAAGTCAAATCTCTTTAGGGAATACTATACAAGTTGTTGGCTACAAATGTGGAGCTATTATTGGCGGTGGATTTCTTGCTTGGTTATCAGCTTTTGTAGAAATCAGTTATCTTTTCATATCACTTAGTTGCTTATATGCTAGTGGGATGTGCTTTTGTTTGATCGGAAAGTATTGGAAATTTTGTAATGTAAAACAATTTCACGAAAAAACGTATATTCAAGTAAATGGTAAGGTTAAATTGATAAACTGCACCGTGATTTGTAGTTTTGCAACGTTTTCGCATACTATTATTTTGTTTTTCCTAAGCATTTTCTAGATATAAACGAATAGTTTCACAGTAGATGAGTTCCGAGGTAATATCAAATATTAAGGAGGAAATTATATTTGTAAAACTCGGCGGTTCAACTTTAAGTAAATCCAACGTTTCGCACAGGGATCTGGTTTTTATTTTTATGCTATGCGAAACTTAAGAAAGTGATGTAATCTTCAGACCTAATTCTTTCGATGCACTTCATTTTCAGACAGACCAATGCTTCCATCTTTAAAGGACATTATCAGTGCAAGGGGTAGTGATTATTACCCAGCTGCCTAATTTAAGGCAAGCGGAACGAGGTCAGAATCCGGGACCTCCTAGTTAAATGCTAGGTGTTTCAACCACTAATTATTTATGTCTTACTCAACTAAGTTATATTTACGCCAAAGCGTAAATTGCTTGCAATGCTCTTGATATCTGGAAAGACAATCAAAGAATGTTTGTGTTGAATATTTCATGTGTAAAGTCAAGTTCGTCGGGGAGCAGTATCTACTACTTAACAGTCCTGTCTCCATTATAGGTCGAAAAAGTGATTTAGTTCATAATATTCTCAGCAGGCATCAGTCGAGGCTTTTGAACTTCAGTTCATCGCCTACTCAAAAGTGTGTCGTCGATGAGTTAAGTTAGCTAATGTTAAACAAACCGAAATCAGTTGTTTGTCTGATTGGTGCAAGTAGGTTTGCATTTCCTGCAAAAGCGTTCATGAAACAACAGTCACTGGTTAGAAAGATCCTAGATGACTTGGCTTAAAATTAGTTTTAATTTTTCCAGATACATTCATACTTTCAGATAACGTTTTACAATTTATTACTTTTTACTTTTCCTAATCCTGACCTTTGTATGTTGTAGTATTTCTCTATTTCTTGATTTCCTCTCTTCATACTTTTGAAAAAGTATTTCAAATTTAATGTATAAAGCAAAAATCCACGTTGTTGTGTTCGTCCGTCAACGCCCATGTAATTGAATTGAGGAAGGTGATACGTGCTTTTTGCTTTCCATATGTGACATTCTGAATTAATTTCTTTTGTTTGTTATGGGACGTAGTTTGGAAGTGATTAGTAAATGTTTGCTTCTTCGAGCACTCTAATTAATAATGGAGGTCCGACTAAGCTTTACGTGACTGCTGCAAGCTATGCACTAATTTCATAACACTAGAACATCCAGAAAATAAAATGTAAGGGTGCTAAATCCTTCTAATTCGTACGTTGGACTTATTATTTCACTTTAGGCTGGTTGACGTTAGGTTGCGCATTTTCATGTGTGGGACTTCAGTATTGGCTTGTGAATGGATTGAATTATTTTTTCAAATTAACCCAGGTGTTAGATAATTGGAATAGCCATACAAACAAATGGTCTAAGCAGTGCAGTGACAACCATAACTTCAGCGTTCGGTATTTTCACGAGAATATTAACTCTACTATGAAAATACGACGTCACAGCCAATAATTGTTTCAATGAACCCCAATAGAAAGCAAAGACTTTTCGGTTGTTCTGCAAGGTATTCTTAATCTATGCTACGAGGCTTTAAATGATATCTCTTAAAACCAATCGAAGTCTCGTAGGCGCATTCATTTTTGATCTTCAAATCTTGAGTTTTGATATTTATCCGATTTCATCCCTTGATTTTATTCGTTTCTTCTAAAATATGTTTTCGAATGTTTAGTTTATCGTTATAAACAATACTGGGCCTAATGTGTTAGGCGAATTGATTGGTGATGTTGTGGAACTTCATCAACTGGGGTGCTTAGGACATGTGTTACGTACGCCTAATCACCACCTACTTTAATGTTTAATGTTAGCTGGTGTATGAATTAGCTAGGAGAAAGCTGGTATCTTCTAAACCGAAATGTAACGTTAGTTCATGAGGTCCTTGACTAGTGGCCTAAGCCATGTTGGTAAATGAAGACTACTTGGTTTGGGTTTTCGCGATCAGTTGTTGAAACCGTTGGATAATATGTCTCAATCGCAAACAGTGGTTAGAGACTAGGTAACATAGCTCACAATTGTCCCTAATGACACAGGCACGTTCATTCTGTCTTCCCCTTGATCCTAAGTTTCCAAATTATCTTATAATTTTTTTTTTACACGAATCCATATCTTACATGCTTAACCTTTTCTATGACCACTACTATTTTTGCCATCCTGGGATTTGATTTGACAATTTCATCTCACCGTGCTAATGTGATCCGGAAAATTGAACCGATTCACATTTGTGCCAGGTTCTTAGTCGCATATAAATGACTGATAATTTAACTCGGTCACAGTGGCCCAAATGCATGAAATCCTTGCTTTGTTCTAGATCAGAAGTTCCAGTACTCTCATCAGCATACCTTTTCATTCCATTTTTCTGAACCACATTCACAATCTTTAGTCTTCATTGCCATTACTTACACCTGTTACTCCCATTGGAGCATAGGCTACCGACCAGCCTTCTCCAGCCCTTTCTGTCCTGGGCCTTCCTTTCCAATTATGTCCAATTTTTGTTCATTTTTCTCATGTCTGTCTATATTTCTCGGTGTAATGTGTTCTTTGATCTTCCTCTTTTCCTTTGGCCTTGAGGATTCCATGTGAGGGCTTGTCATATGACATTGTTGGGTGCTTTCTTCAATATGTGTCCTGTCCACTTCTATCGCTTCTTCCTCCACTGGAATCTGGCTTGTTCTCTCCCACAGTAGGTTGTTGCTGATAGTGTCTGGCCGATGGATCCGAAGTATTTTGCGTAGACAACTGTTAATAAATACTTGTATCTTGTGGATGATGGCTTCTGTAGTTCTCCAAGTTTCCGTCCCCTACAGTAGAACTGTGTTGATATTTGTATTGAAAGTTGTGACTTGGGTTTTGGTTGATAGTTGTTTTGGGTTACAGATGTTCTTCAGCTTCATTGTCATTGGTACTACATTATTTTGATTCTTCTAACTCATCATGTTAAATTGTATGAGAACTTGGTCCAATGCACATCTTTGTCAGGTTAAACATTGTGACTGAATGACGGATCTCAAATTGATTCCGTTTTATCTCGTTTATTGTGATAAATTAAAGTATGACAAATTGAGCTGACGCATAGTTATGCAAGATTTAATACTGTTTATGATTAATTGGTGGTAGCAGTCTGTTAGCTTAACGGGTTAAATTTAGAAAGAAGCAGAAAAAAGCACTGGTTTCATAACATACTGAGGATGCCATTATAACATATTTGGATTAGTCACGCTTTACAGGTCCTATACATTTTATAGTTCAATTGATTGAAGTCATAGTTTTGCATTGTAATATTATATATCTTTGGCTTCTTTTATTTTGCGTAATTAATTGCCTTTAATTTTCTTCAGAGAATGAGAATTCAGACGATGAACAAAATTTAACTATTGTGTCAAAACAATATTCGTACACAAAAGCCTTCAAAATTGCCCTGGGTCATTCAGGTGGTTCACGTTGTCTTATTGTTCTTCTATTGATTTATAAACTTGGAGAGCAAGGATCTATGAATATGCTACCTTTGATGCTTTTAGATAGAGGATTTTCTCTATCTAAAGTTGGATTTTGGACAGGTGTTGTTGGACAGTTGGCATCTATAATTGGGTCTACATCTGGATACTATATCCAGAAAAAGCTCAGGTTTGTTTAAGCTATCGGACAAATACTTTCGAATGTTTAAAAAATGTTATGAAAAGACGAAGTTGATCTAAAATACATGGTATGCTTGACTCACTCCATTTCAAACAGTCTGATCGCACATTTACCCAAGGATTGCATGTGAAAACTAGTGTAGGTCATTTAAGTAAACGGTCAAATAGACAAAATGTTATTAGCAGAAGTATATAACACAAGATGGTCTATTATAATAGTAATAACTGGTCTTCACTTTGTCGTTGGCACTAATATTGATTATGAATTATCAGGTCAGGTTAGAAACATGAGTGATTTACTTCTGGATACCTAAAGTTAATATTTTCCTTAGATTAAAAGTCATAAACTTGAAAGTGCACCGAATGCAGTTCCTATATAGGGAATTAAAAGCTATCAAAATGTTATTTGTATCACCTATTTCAGTTTCTTGTTTTGCCTTCGTCTATCTGGGATTGAGGGGCTAACGAAATACGAAGCCATTTCCGTCATATCTACCAATTGAATAGTTCGATTACTGTTTCTTACACTTTTAAACCATTGAAATTCATAGAATGTTATTATAGGATGTTATAGAGATCGTTGAATCTAAAGCTTCACATCACAGACTGACTTTTAGGTAGATGACCAATGAAAGCGACGAAGCAATGGTCAGTTGTTTCATTCTAGTGTGGAAATTCTCAACATCACACATCTACAACTTCATCTCCTCAGGTCTCAAGGTGAGCACCTAACATTTCGATCACAATTTACATTTCTAACTTCAATCAATTCACGATATGGTGTGACCAACATCCATTGGGATCGGGTTCATTTGTATCACATCCAACTGGTCACGGCTTCTCACTGGGACTCTAGGATTTACATCTCGAAGTTAGTCACCAGCAAACACGTGGTGATTGTTATCATGTATTGGAAATATCGTTAATTTTTGCCTATTCATTTACGTGATATTAACGTCCATGCAAAATACGAGTTTCGTTCTCTTAATGACGATCGATTTGGCAGTTTTATGTCTTTTTCTTGTCTGTTTTCAGACTCCGTTTCAAAATTATGCTGTCCAACTTCATTTTGTACTGTATAGGAAAGGGATTTTGATATTACCTAATTTCTATTTTAGAGTAAAAACTTTTGTAGCTATCTGTTTATTAGTGATGTCTCAGTAATATTTACAATCTTTTCCATTTGGCAAGAAATAAAAAAACGTTACTTAAGTTAGTTTTTCTTTTAAAAAAAGGTCAGAAAATAATGCAGTATTTATATTTTCAGCTTACATGAAGCCAGTAAGGATTAAATAAAACACATGCAGCACATAATTCAGATTTTGAAATCGTTTTCTCCTTAATGCTAAATATTTCAGGCACTTTCTCTCAGGTTTATACACTGGACACTCAAATTATATGTCAGTGATTCAAACCATTTTAGCTTATTTGTACATGAACAGTTGAACATTTACATTCCTCCCTCGTTAAATATCACGTTTCAGTGCATGTGACGTAATCCTTTATGTGCATACTTTGTCGTTGAGCATAAGACAGTTGTCGTTCAGCGAACGTGTGCTAGTTTAAAAATGATAAAGAGAAATTGTAGTTTCTATTCGATTAGTTTCTCGTCATGGCTCTACATCAAAATAATATATATGTATGATTTGCAACAGTGAAATAATACTCAATAATTATATAATGACACATTGATCATAAAATAATGTTGAGTAATTGGGAGAAAGAGGATTATAATAATCAAAGTAATTATTCGAAAAATCAAACAGTTGCTACGTTGCATAATATATAAAAAGAAGGGACTAACATAATATTTTGATGAAAGGTCGGTATCGTAGTAGTTATGTAAGAACGAAGGGATGAATTTTGAGAATATGTAAAATACAAGTGGAAGTAATTAGAAAATAGTTCAAATATTTTTGGAAGAAAGGATTTCATCAAAGTTCAGCTACAGGCTCACTCCAATACTGGTGGCCAAGTTATAGAGAGTGGTTGTAAAAACTTTTGAATGTTAAGGCTTGGTTTGTAAACACTGACCCCAGTGGCTTCAGCGTTGTGCAAAAGTTGAACTCGTAAACCAAGTGGTAAATTTGATAGAATATGGTGGATAACCTTAAAAACTTTATTCATGTCAACTTGGTGACCTGTGTCCACCAAATAAGTGAGAATATAACTGAATCACTCATACTCGTCTTTTGTTCAACCAAAACTGATGGTGTTCTGCTATGAGATGATGGATTTGTCAAATTGTATACATTATATAACCGGCTCAAAAGGAGCAGTTGAATTGGTAAATATACATGGATGTGGCGAATTCAAGCAGTCATTCTTAATAAAGGTTCTTATTATGGGGCGGTTGTAGAGCCATGATGAAAAGCTAATGGAAAATAAATTTCTCCTCAAGTCGTTCTTTTTTTTATCGAATCTCAAAATGAGCATTCCCACTGAATTTGTAATTCACTTAGTGGGTGTATTTGTTGTTTTTATTTTGTTCTCTGAGTTGAATGATGTAATTGTGTTAGGCTTATATAATCTTTTTGGATAACATTATCATCAGCTTACAATTTCATTTTGACACTTTTAGATCTCCACTAACTTCAGTTCTAAGCCTGATGATAATTAGGGCTTGTCTACAATTCCCTCTAACAATGATTGCTTTCAAATCTACTTGGATAAGTGCACCTAACGTTTCTTTCTGTAAGTCATTCGATTTATTCATAAAAATTCACTGTTATTTATACCAGTATGTGTAATTTTTTTAGTGCTGTATTGTATTTAATTATAGTTTTGAACAATCTGAATTAAAAAGGTAAGTTATGTAGTGTGTTGTTTATAACATTACGGAATATCCATTACATTACCGAAGTTTATAAAAGTGATTAGATTTTAACTAAATAATAATTTCAGTGGTTAAGATCATGAGTCAGTTGAAGCTAGACCATCATGGAAAACCTGGAATCACTGAACGGCCGTTTCGTCCTATTGTAGGACTCCTCAGCAGTGCACATCCACGATTTCGTCCCCCGCGAGGTTCGAACCCAGGACCTACTGGTTTCGCGCGCGAGTGGTCTAGTGGTTAGGTAGGTCCTGGGTTCGGATCTCGCAGGGGGCGAAGTCGTGGATGCGCACTGCTGAGGAGTCCCATACTAGGACAAAACGGCCGTCCAGTGCTTCCAGGTTTTCTATGGTAGTCTAGCTTCAATTGACTCATGATCTTAACCATTGACATTACTATAATATCCACAAAACCCCTTTTGATACTAAATAATAATTTTCAAACGGCCTAAAACATTATGATAGATTAAAGATCAAAGACATAACTTTACTATGAGAGAGATTTTGATATGATTTCACAGGTAGGTAAATAAAAATCCTTATAAATTCGATTAGAAATCGAATAGAGACAATCATATAATAAATAATTTGATGTCAGATATAAGTAAATGTTTATGTAATGCATTCGTATTCACTTATTATCATATAAAATGCAGAGATTGTTATGACTTGTGAACCGTTAAACATCACGTGATTTGTTCGCAAATAAGAATACAACTTATATCATCTTAACGCTGTGCCATAACGACGACATATTGACCAGTATGAGCAGCCTAGTGTCATTATTGATCCTTTTTCCCTCCTAGCCCTGCCTGTTGAGTTCAGAATGCCAATACTAACTTTCACTATACGCATACTCATAAGCATACGCAAAGCAGACCACATCATACCATAAAATAAAAAATAACGATTGTACAAGGTCAAAACAAAATGTGGTTGTGATTGTGAGAGACTGTAATTAATAAATTGGGTATAACTTAAGAATAGTAAGTCGTATAATAATAGCCTATAGGTCAAAATAAAGTCCATAATAAGAGGAATACGAATATAAATAATCTAGTTAGTAAATAGTTATGCAATAAGAATACATGTATAATATTAGTCCATTAATAGTTCTCAGAAGTTACCCATAATTTAATCTTCACTAGGCTATAACATAGATATGTAGGCTTGTCTTGTAAGTTCAGCAGTATCGAGTGATTTTATTATTTTGGTGTATTTGGCATATGGCTGGCAATGGAATCCAGGTTGCATGTTTCGTCCTGGTTGGGACCCATCACCTAGATATACCTTCATCTCTGTGTTAATGTTTACATTGAAACTCGAATCTAGTATCTTTCATTCAATGAATTATTCATTAATCTACTGACTCCACTTATCCACTATAACAGATATGGATGCATTATTGTCGGTTCGTAATTTTTCATTGTTGATATTCAGAATTGAACTATCTGAACACATTAAGTAGCACAGTGGATAATATTTTGAGATTTGAAGGAAAAGGTCATGGATCAAAATCTTATTTTGTGAATATCAACACCGAGATGTAGACAAATCCAGATAGTGATTCCCAAATGGTTATTATTTCTACTCACATGCAAAACATTCTATGGCTTGATACATAATTTTAGTTCAAGGCAGTCTGATCAAGATTCACATATGAGAACAGAGGCTGATCAGTTCTAAATATCAATGGAAAGAATATCATCGTTGTTCTTGCTCTCCTGAAGTTGATAAAGAAAACTATATATGTAAATAATTAGTATATTCGTCCTGTTTAAATTTTACTAGAAAGTGTCATTTTCATGATTGAAATCAATCTCCAAGTATTATTCTATTCGACAAGCTGCTGTAAATAAGGGATGTAAAACTCGTCCTACATTGACAATGAAAAAAATCCATTTCTGTAAATACTCCTTATCTACACTATGATATCGTGAATGAATGAATAAAGCTGTTGAGGTTGCCTGGTTCTTTAATGTTGTTATGATTTAGTGACTTATAATTTGTATTACTGTTAACAAGAACATAGTCTGATTGATAAGTATCAGCTAACTGTGACTTATTGAACCAGAATGGGAAGCAAAAATCTAGAGCACTGTACTTATCATCTGTTGTGGTGGTGTTTAGTAAGAATTTTACAATTAATTTCGTTCTTTTTAAAAATAAAACCCCTTAGATTCATGAAATTTTTAAGTTTAATTACGAGACAGAATTCATTAGTTATCTTTTTTTGTCTCGTTACTGGATATCTAATACTAATCGTGTCTTTCAGTATGGGGTTGTGAAGATTGTTGAATTCTTTCGAAATTACTAGACCATCTAAGTTAAACCACTATTGAAAATCTAGAAGCACTGGATGACCGTTTTATCTGAGTATGGGACTCCTCAGAAGTACACATCCACAATCCCGCATATAGGAATCGAACCAAGGATTTTTTTTGGTTTCGCACACGAATGCTTAACTTCTAGACCACTGATCCATCATGCAACGGTGCTTGTTTTCTGACGTTCTGATTGGTTAATACTTTTAAATCTAATCATGAAGATAATTGATTAGTTTACATTTCAGTTGATTGTTCTCATGATTCAAAATAGAAAGCAGCGTTTCAAGAAGGCGATAACTTTTCATCAGTTTAACGAACATATATTTTATGTAATTCTTATAATAATATTTACTTTCTTATTTTTTTAATTCATTTAGGGATAGGTTGTTCATTAATGAATATTTTACTAGTTGTGAGTGGAGGGATTACAACAATTATGTTCACGTTGATGATGCATTGTACATGTTCTGAATCATCTAAAGCCTATCAAGCAACTCATTATTCTATATTAAGTACAGCAGAATTATTGGGAAAACTTTTATTTGGTACAATAGCTGCATATTTTACAGATGTATTTGGATATGGAGTTGCTTATTCGTGCTTTTTAATTTTATCTATACTTCCAATTCTATATGTTTACAAATGTTCTGGGAAATTTCGATTTTTTCCCTAAATGGTTATTTAACTAGGTAAGTTTGTTTTTTCCAATTCAGTCAAATATTGAATAAAAAATGTTTTACCTTGGCATTCGGCTATAATTATCGGTCAGTTCAAGACTTGTAACCGTTTGTTCATATGTTGTAGGCTAACACGTTCTCATAAGTGATCCTATTCCTTCACTAGGGAAAACTAATTAAGAGTGTTTTGAACTTGCAATTACCTTAGGTGGATTAATTCAGTAATGAGATTATGCAGAAAAAAAAAGAAAATTAGGCTTCAATTACTGTCGAATTTTTTTATAAAAAACAACAAGAAAATAGAATTGCAGCATCGAAGTGTGTTGTGAATCATTTTCAAGCTAAGATTTTCGAAAAAGAATTGTATACAATGATTCAGATTTGTCTACATTTTCTTATCCGCCTAAGTTTATCTTCGTTTTCCATCAATTATATGCGTTACTAGTCTATGAACATGGTAATTAGTGTCAGACATTGTCCTTCACATGTCATTTGATAACCCCGTTTTATATTTGATTCCGAAATAAATTGTAAAATTAGCTCATGTCCATCCTTCAAAATTCAAAGCGTATGATGTTTAGTTACGTACTTTAATAAAATTCACGTTCAACCCAAATGTTGTCAGCACTATGAGAGCTTGTGAACCAATTTATATGTATCATGGTCATTGTAAAAACTAAATTATGTTTCAAACACTTCCACATAAATTTATTTTGATGGAGTTTTGTTCTCTGAGCTGGATGGTTTGATCATGGAGTTTTCATCGTTCTTCTGAACGACATCATCAGCACAAACATCAATTTATTTTCTGGAAAATATCATTTTTTGTCTAACATAATGAAAAATAGATCTCGTTGACTGAGTGATCGTTTTTCATTGTTACATCTATGATTTGGATATTCTTTAGTGTTCTGGTAGAAAAGAGGTTTGAGGTAATTTATGTTTGTACTTCTGACACAATTCATTTTTTAAGTATTTTTCCTAAGTCTGTAAATGTGTCCATTTGCGAAGATTTTCATCATGCTATTAAATTAAAAGTTTAAAAATTGCTTTTACCCATTTTCCATGTAATTAAATATGAATCACTCTAATTTTGAGGGCTAATGATATTATCTAGTTTCTGAAATCGAACTATGAAGAGCAGAATTAGAACCGGAGACTTAGGAACTGGAAGTTTAACGCGTTAATCACTAAACCACATCTTCATGTTGCTGAGTAGCAAGATGTTCAGAAAAAATCTCTTATTTTTTTCTCCAGAATGCAACAAGTTACAGTAGTCTCGGAACTGTTCAGTTGTTATATATTTTAATAGTTGAGATCATGAGTCAATTGAAGCTAGGTCACTATGGAAAACCTGGAACCACTGGACGGCCATTTCGTCCTATTGTGGGACTCCTCAGCAGTGCGCATTCACGATCCCACCTCGCGAGATTCGAACACAGGAACTATCGGTCTCGCGCTTGAGCGCCTAAGCTGCGAACCTTTAAGCCGGAATCCAACGCTGTTAATGTCTAACTTCAACTAATCCACAAAATTGAGCGACACATCCATCATTGTCTTCAGTGAGTTACTATCTCATAACATACCGGTTGAACTCCACTGGTCACTGCTTCTCACTAGAACTCCAGGAAATATCTCTTAAAGCCAGTCACTAGTGAGCATATGTTGATTATTATCAGAAGGGGTTTTTTTGTGCATACTATAGTAATTTTAATCGTTGGTTTCAAATCTCGCGAAGTCGGATCGTGAATGCGCACTCCTGAGGAGTCCCATAATTGGACGAAACGACTGTCCAGTGCTTCCAGGTTTTTATATGGTGGTCTAGCTTCAATTGACTCATGATCTCAACGACTAAAATTACTATAATATCCACAAAAAATCCCCCTTCTGATGTTATATATTTAAAAATAATTTATTTCATCAGCTGAAATACACCAAAATATCAAAAACGATTTAGAATTAAAATAATTTATATTTATGATTGTAGTTTAAAAATCCCCATAGAATATTCAAAAATGAGGAATATTTGAGCGAATGATTGTTTCTGCAATAACTTCATCATCAGGCTCTACAGTGATAAGTCCATCATTATGATATTTTATAAAGGCCAAAAATAAGGCATGTTTTAACGAGTTTGACAATGTTATGTGTTAAAAATTGGTGCACGTTTGCATCTGTTACGATATATATATATATATACTTCAAAAAATTGTCATATTTGCAAATTAGAAAGGTTATTCAATAAAGGTCAGTAAATTGTCCAGTCACAATAAGATAATAGTACTATTGCAAAATTGAAAATAATTCTGTCAACTGAGATAATAATAATAATAATATTGTTGTGTGAATATAATATGTAATAAGGGGGGTGTTACCAAGGTAATTACGGTCAACAAATTGGGAAAGATGGATATGAAGATTAAGATATAGATAATGACAAATAATGATAATAAGGAAAATAAAGAAAAATAAAGGAAGGGGTAAGAGGTTTATAATATTCAGTCTAGGTATTCGGTGATCCAGTCATAGGCCAGGGTAAACATAGAGGCTGGATATATTTTTTCTGGATGCATAAATTAGGTCTTCTGAAGTTGATCCAGATGGCTTCGGCTGTGTAAAGCAGTCGTAATCTAGCTACTTGAGGTAGATATTTTCGAACTTGATATAAAACAGAGAAAGCTTCCTCTATTTTGATATGATGTTCACTATCTACCAAGTGAGAAAGAATGGTGCTGTTAATGATTGTATTTTTAATCGCTTTCATAAAATTTGATCAAATCCCAAAAAAATGTTTCCTTCTTTCCAATTGAAATAGATCTTGCATCTGGTCTCTATTATTATATTTACTCTTATAGGTATTTATTTCATAATTTGATAAATCTTCTGACTGACTGCTTGAATCGGTTTCCTAAGCTCTCTTAATTAAACCCAGGCTAAATCTGCACGACAACTTGAACACGAGAAAAAGGATGCGAAATACGGAAAGAATGCTTTACTCCAAAGATTTGTTTATGTACGGAAAATCTAGGGTTTTTATAGTCTTTTAGATGGCATTGAGTTTCCGGAAAATTCTGGAACACTATTAAACATATTAGTTGTATAGATAATCATCCAATGAGAAAATCGACACGTGACTTTTTAATTCCTAGATGTTTCTAGCAAAACTTCTAGTGAATGCTGATTAGATAAGATGCCTCTCAGTGTCTTCAGAGTTTCTTCTGGATTTTTTCGAGGAGTTTTCTGGATCTCTCCAACAGTCTTATTTCTAATTTAATCACTAATCAATCAAATTTCACCAAGATGCTAATCAAATTGTTTTTTTTACAATTAATTGGTCACTGGGGTTTTATTTATTTATTTTAACACATATATATTGGTACAAGGAGGCACCAATTACACATGCGCCACACAAATCTCATTTAATTTGTGTGAGGGCTGTGATACTACCCGGGTGCCCAAACCGAAAAGATGGTTTTCTTAGGGGGCCGCACCCCGAGCCTTCGACCTAAAGGTCTGATCCACAAGGCAGTGGAGCATCGTAAGGAGATACAGTCCCATGGTAGTCAGTGACCAACGATTAGTTCATGCGCCATTTGTTCCTTCAGGACACTGGAGCCCATGTTTACCATTGGTTTGGAATCAGGGTTTTCCAACTCCCCTAGGTGGACTCTCCACATTCACCAACCCGATTAAAGCTCCGAACATTCGTTTTTTGTCTTCTCAACTCTGTAAACAACCCCACCGCGAGAATTCAGTGAGTAGGACTTCCCTAGCAGAGGCTATATACGCGTGGCCATGTGAGAGCATTTCAAGAGGGAGAGCGAACTATCCCCACTCTCGGCCGTACCAGAGCATTTGGGGGCAGTGACTGGGGTAGTGACCAATGCTATGTGTATCAAGTCCTTCTTAGTGTTAATCGAATTTTGTCAATCAAGTTGTAATGTAGCCACTAGTCTAGGTGACTCCTTTCTACTTTAAATGAGTTATTCGATACTAACCATTCTTCTCAATTGTTCATCTTACTTTTTAGATCTAGTTTACTTGTTAATCACAAAAGATTAGGACAATCTTAAATTGTTGATTTATGTAGAGAAAAGAAATTAGATCATTCAAAATAAACTAAAGAAAAAACAACAACTCTAGTTGAAAGTCTTGTTAAGTTCATACTGCTCATTGTAAGAACAGTCTTTATTTTACTAAGAGGAAAATCCATGCAAAATTATAAATAGCTCAATTAGTTGAATTGAATGGGAAAAAACCAATCATCATTTATCCCATAGTTTATCTACTTACCTCTGGTTGTACTTGTGTTGTTATTTTTTTATTTATTTATTGAATAACTTCATTACTTTATTTTTTTGTTAATGTTTGCCTTACATTAAAACTGTCATTGAACCTTTATTTCCTTAAAGAAAGCTTGAACCAGATTACCAGGCATAACGTTGGATCTACTTCAAATTCTTTCACTGAAATTCTACAAATACAACATTCTTCCTCTTTAATGTCATTGATCTATTTTATAATCTATGCGATATATGTATTCGTTTGTACTTGGTTGTTGATTTCTTATCAATAAAGTATGAGTTTAAGCGAATTTATTTTTCTTTTAATGGAGTTTTATTCACTGAGATGGATGGTTTAGTCATGGAGCTTTCATCAGTACAAACTTCAGATAGAATTTATTCTTCATTTGATATTTGATTTTGCATAGTTTTTTACGTAATTCAAACTTTTAATAAGTTTCTAGTGATCTGAACTACTATATTATTGATACTTTAACTAAATGTTGACCAGTATGAATTGAAATATGTGCATCTCTCTATATGGAATATCTTGATATATTTATTCTGTCATAAGTTTATATGGAATATGAGTGGTAGCAGAATCCAGAACGCGTGCGTCTTCTCATTTGGGACTCATTGAAGATCGAATATTATTTCTGAGATGCAGGTAATTTGGATTTGTTTGAATCGCAACAAAGCTGACAATGTGTGTGTGCATAGATATTCTTGCCACTTAATTTTTATATATAGTGGATTGTGCGCGACGATGTAAGGTATGTAGTGTGTTGTGTTCCAAGACGATTGAAGAAAAAACAACCTAATTCGGTCATGTCACTGCATGTTTTCCCAACTCAGTAATTTCATTTCTTTCTGCATTGATGAAAGCCTAACTTTGTCTAAATAGTATAGCATTTTCTCCGGCCCTATGTTTCATTAACCGTATGATTCACTAACAGCTCAGTTTTATTGTATTATTTATTTACAATATTCAAGAATTTGTAGAGAGAAACGTTTCTTCTTAGCAAACATTCATTTTCATAGTTATGCATTTGTAAGCAATAAGAGAGAAGCATGATAAGTTTTGAAAGTATATAACTAGATATCTACTTTTATCAGGTTATGAAGTTTTAGTGCCAGTAGAATATCACTAAGCCCTGTCTAAATCATCCAACAGGCAGATTAGTAAATGTCAGACAGTTTACGGTACCTTATTAAGCTAAGAGACAATTATCTGGATCAATCCCGACCGTTGTTGCTACCTTGATGTGGTGGTCGGGCTTGCCTACCGTAATGAAGCAACCGAACCATACTGTCTGGAACAACCGTTCCTCATGGTTCCAAAATGTCAGACAGGTCGGTCGATGAGCGGTATGACTAGAAGCAGCAAACCCAAGGTTTGAGGGAAAAGTCGTGATGCTGACTGTACAGAGGTGTGACAACAGTAAGGTGTTTCCTTCAGACAACCAGCATGACAGCGATGCTGCCTCCCCACAATGAGGGGTGCGGTTAGAAAAAGTCGACCCTAAAAATGCACTCCTCGCCTTATCCCACGGATATTCGTCTCCGGCGGTAAGGTCTCAACAAGTACAGAGCTAACACAAAAATTACCCATAAAAAGGTCGTGTGTGACCGGCCTCAAGCAGTTGTCCCTTGGGACTGCGGTCACGCTCCCAGGTCACTAAGACCACTTCTAATCCGATTTCCCTTTCGGTTACCTCCAGAAGAACCCTTCCACGTTGTGGGCAACCGGGAAGTCATAACCGCCTTCATACCTGTAACAGCATTCAAGACCACTGTATTCATAAGCAACCTCCGTCTAACATCTGGATCAATCATGGACAGGCGCATACGGCAGTGGACTCGCTTTGCTTTTTGTAATCTGTTAATACTAATATATCCTGTTGCCTATTGAGTGTATTTATTTTGTCAAGTCACTTCAGAAGTTTATTCACCTAGTTATCATGATGAAATAATTTAGACCAAGTATTAACAATTAAGTGACTTAAATGTAAGCTAGGAGGTCACAAAATTTCTGTCCGACTTGACTAGATCTCATTCTTAGACACATCACTTACGTTAGTGATCTACATAATTATTTTCACAACTTATGAGAAACCAATGTATAATCATTGGGTATTAAAAGTTAAACTGGAATTATGTTGAAAATAATGAATGTGTTAACATCTTTCTATAATTCTACAAGTAACCATAATGCACTCATTAAGACATATATCAGTATGAATCGATCGGTCCACTCGCTCTTTTGGGATTGAGGACATGATCTCGTTGGCGTTGTCTCAATCGGTTGTCCACAAATGATCTAAGAACTGCAATGAGAACTATAGTACATCATAATGTTCAAACTGAAGTCAAATTTTAACCTTGTTAATTATTCATTTATCAAGCATGACTGTTTTTTTATTAGTGTATGTGTGTGTACACTTCTTATCCTATCCATCACATGTCTGTAGCTTAATTTTGTGTGACTAAATATTGAATAACGCTTGATTAAATTGAGTTGGCTCACACGCCCCCACAGCGCGTCATTTCGCTTCGTTCCTCTGATCATCTGTCCAAATCAATGATTGTACAGAATATACGTATTCGGAGTCCATTCTCGTATTTGATTTATTTAATTCCATTACTCACTAACGCGATCTAAGTCGATCGGATGAATAGATTGGCCTGTACAAAAGCTAGAATAAGGTATATGGCTTAACATAGAAACCGACACTAAGTGTTTCAGGTGGATAGTCAATCCCCTCGCATATCAAACATCAGAATCAGTGGTTTATTACCTATTATATAAGTCCATTATTATCGGACGACGATAACGTCAGTGGAATATGTGCCCAGCTCAACTTTGTATATTTATCGATCTAATTTGCGTTAGTAAATAATGCGATGAATTCCGAGAATAATTTTAAATACATACAATTCACACATGAGTTAATGAAGACAGACAGTCAGAGAAGTAGAGAAGGCGAACGCGCCTGCTGAATTTAATTAAAGCTTGCTTGAATATCTGGGCGTTCATGCAACCTAGATATTTCAACAAGTTAACTCTGTTTTAATACACCAATATATCTATTAAGCGTAAAGCCTATTCAGGAGCGTCTATGAAAAATTTACGAATTCTCGCTGTACCAGTTAAAAAATACAAGAGGCTGGTAGTATGTATTAAACATAATGAACAATATTCAAATGTTGATTTCTGAACTGCTGACATCTTACTGGTGATCACTCAATATTTATCGTCAGGATCGATCAAAAAATAATAAAGGAAGCTCGTTGGAATTCGTACTGAGAATTCTATATCGTGCCAAAAAATAATATTGAATAAAACCATTAAAAATGATAATGACCGGACATTGATTATCATGAAAAATTAAAGCGAATATATCGATATATACCGTTATACACGCATACCCAAAGTCACACATGAATGACAGAATGACTAGTAAGATCAAGATAGTTCATCTGTCTTAAAGCTAGGAAAATTCGCGTTGGTAGTAAAATGCAGGCTTTTACAGTGGGCATTAAAGGTCACTAGAGATATCTTGCTTATACGTCAGCCACGTGTACTGAATACCACAATGAGAATATTATTTGATTTCTCCCTCCATTTCGTATGCTACTCGTGTTAAAATTACTCAGGATTTGGCTAATGTCTATGTTTACTGACCGATCAGTATGGTAACACTGTAACAATTTAAGCTGGCTGATTCAGAGTTATCAAGAAAAAGCCTTGTAATATTAAGACATTATAGCTCGAGTGTTTGTTTACTTATTCTGTGTGGGGTTTATATTTCCAATTATTCTACGGTGGTTATCAAAAAGTTTGTGTGTTTGGAAGCATAAATTTTGACAGCAGCGCAAAAAGCACTCTACACGGCCAGAGAAAGTATCCTCAAACCGGCTATGTTAGCATACCAGCATATCAAAACACTCATTAGTATCGCAATAGATGCATCTAACTCGGCAACCGGGGTATATTTAACGCAATCGGTAAACAGAACCTGAAAATCTTTGATATTCTTCTTGAGACGGTTGGTTAACAATGAACTGAAGTCCAGCCCTTTCTGCAGAGGGGGCCGAAAATTCACCCAGTTTTCTGACCATGAATCTTCAACATTATCTATGTGCTCATCTTCAGACAAACACTCAACAACCTCAACTATACAACTTATTTCTGGGGCAAGTAATGTTGTTGCAGACGCCTTGTCTCGTATTACATTCTTGAATAGTTTCCAAGGTGTCTATCTTCCGAAACTCGTCCAGCTACAAAAAGAAGAAATTGATCGTCTCACATAAAACGTGGGCGGCAGTTTGAGTCTGAAATTTTCCGTTGTTTTACTATTACACTGGGAATCAAAAGGTTTCGAGCGACAGCCTATCATCAAGAAGCTAACATGTTAGTCGAACGAGCGGGCTCACAAACGCTGTGTGTTTCGTGCAGTCTGTTTCCATTCGACCACAGTCAACAGATGTTTTAGTTAATCGTGCCTTATGACATAGTACACACATTTTTATACGTTGTGATTCATCATCATTTGAAAACAGGATAGCAATTACACGTGAAGACTAACTATTGGCTTTGAGCTAGGATAAGACGGGTTGTGGAGCATACCTAAACTTTTCAGGGCCACTTGAAAATCCTTTTCCGTGGGTGGTTTTCGCAATACTGTTGTGGGATAATCTTTACTTTCATAATAATTATTTTTCTATTAAGTAGTAATGACCTTACACATACACACTTCTGTTATTTGTCCCTATGTCAATGAAAGTAATGTTTATTATTAGTGCATTTGCGCGCTTGTGTTAGTTCATCGCTTGTCTTGTTCTTTAAATGTATGAATTATTTATAGCCTGATTAAAAGGCTCGCTCTTCGAGTACGCTGGTAAATTTCACCTCGCTTGCCATAAGTTTAACTTTTATTAATGCTTCATTTCGCCCGCATATATGTGCATAAACTAAATCTTACCAATACATTTCATATCTGACCGCCGGTACACAGCTGATTTGGCCTAACCGATTTCTACTGTTCAACGTTTGGCCGTGTTTTGTTCGTTTTATTTTCTCAGAATAATTTTACTTTACGTCCATGCGTTTTTTTAAACTGTAAAGCTTTTCAAATATAGTGGTCGAGACAAAACATCCTTGTTGCAAGACAACCAACCACTTCCTGGTCGAGTGATGGCTGTAAAACATGGCATAAAGTGTATGCTCGATTTACTCTATTTAGTAGGCTACAGTCACTTTACATGTGCAGTTTATAGTTCCATAATAAGTCCATTCACAAAACAGAAG